TGGACAGGCCATGAGGAAGGGCAGGGCTGCGTGCACAGGCCGTTGTGGACAGGGGTGGGAGAGGCCGTGCAGATGAGCAGGGCTGCGTGCACAGGCCGCGTGGACAGGTGTGGACAGGCCGTGCGGATGAGCAGGGCTGCGTGCACAGGCCACGTGGACAGGTGTGCACAGGCCGCGTGGACAGGTGTGGACAGGCTGTGTGGATGAGCAGGGCTGCGTGCACAGGCCGCGTGGACAGGTGTGCACAGGCCGCGTGGACAGGTGTGGACAGGTGTGGACAGGCCGTGCGGATGAGCAGGGCTGCGTGCACAGGCCGCTGGCGCTTACCCCGCTGGACGAGCTGCTGGGCCTGCCTGCGCACACGCGTGTTCCGTAGGAAGCGCCACTCACGCTCCTTGCGGGTCTGACTCTCCAGGTCGTGCTCCTCCGGGATCTTCAACAACAAAAGCACAGTTCAGTCCACCCTTAACCACCATGGCTCCTCGGCTCGGGGCCCTCGCCCCAAGGTGGACTCTTCATCCCAAGGGGCATGGGACAGGGCTCTGGGGCGTGGTGGTGCTGTAGGCCTTGGCCCTGCTGGCACCAGGAGGCCCTGGAGTGCCCAGCCCCACCTAGTACAGGCCATCCACACCCATGCTCTCTGGGGAGCACATGGCTCTGCTCCCTACCTGGCCTGTGTGTGTACAACTTCTTTGTAATCTTGACCCTGTGAGCAAGGGGCCACCTCACCTGGGAGCAAGGCCAACTGGTATGGTGAGGGGAGTGGAGACAGAGTCCGAGCCTACAGAGGGCCAGCATTTTCCAGCTCACCAGGTGGTGACACCGAGCACAGGATGGTACCGGCAACGGACAAGGTTCAGCACGGGCACCTCAGAGTGGCCGAGGGGGTGAGGTGGTGGAGGCAGGCATGGAACTTGGTGTTTCAAAGCATGAGGCACAAAGCCCTCGGACAGCGTGCAAAGAGCTCCCCCAGCTGAAGGAGGGCAGGGCACTGGGTCTGAAGACAAACGAGCTCATGGAGAAGAAAGTGAGAGACTGGGAGGCAGCAGGCTGAGCGGGACATGGTCTGGGACACTGGGGGCTTCCCTCCAGGGAGTCACTCAGCCCTTGAGAGGGAGGGAGGCCAACTGGGTGTCAGGTGGACAGACGGTTGCACCAGAAGCCCTGAATGGCAGACCTGTGGGGGCTACCCTCCCCTCCTATATTTTTGCTGCAAATTCAATTATGCTAGTAGCATTCTGCAGATATTGTGGGATTCTATATGCACAGAAATACTGGCGAATAGATTTACTCCTTCCTTTCCATCTGGATGCATGTGGTTTTTTGTTTTATTTCCCCCCTTTCTTGCTTTATCGCACTGTCTCAAGCCTCTGGTAGAACATGTAGGAATGATGTGAACAGACTTTCAGAGTAACGCCGGCTTGGTGAGGTGGGAGTGTCCCTCTGACACGGAGTAGAATTGGCACCGCTCTTCTGAGATAATTGGTAGAACCCCATCTGGCTGGTGCAGCCACCCCACTGTCCTCTCCGAGTTACACACAGTCCTTGTTCCCACGGAGCCCCAGCTGGGGCCGGAGAGGCCACCCCACTGTCCTCGCCCCAGGGGTTTGAAAACAAGGGGGGGGTGTCTTTCCAGTTACTATCATTTTAGTAGTTTTGGGTTCTGTGTCTTTATGTGGGCTGGCTTTTCTCTGGTATCACGGTCCCTCTGCAGACCATGGACTTTCCACGCCTGGTCGTTAGGGGGGTGGGCTGAGGAGGAGAGGATGACGAGACCGTGCCCTGAGGAAGTACACGGGCACAGCGGGTAGCAGTGGGAGAGCCGTCTCTGCCGACCAGCCAGGGGAGGTGCAGCTGTCCTCTGGAGTGGAGCGTGCCACCTCCACCCACTGAGGGGCCTGGAGGGGAGCCAGCTGTCCTTTTGCTGCCTGTGAACTCCCAGGGATGACCAGCGGCATCATTTTAGGACGTTAAGGAGGCGGCCCCGTGGTGAAGGCCACAGCTCCGAGCTGAGGAGTCCTGTGCAGGTGAGGTCTGCCGGGGTGCGGCGGACGGGGTCACAGGCAGCAGCATCTGTCACCTCAGAGGAGAGCCAGGCTTTCCTGGCGAACAGCTGGTCTGAGAAGACACTGGATGCTCTGCATGGTGGTAGCAGAAAGACGAGGCCGGGCGGCCGCACACACGGCGGCGTGACACCCAGCCTCTTCTCCTGGCTCAGGTCTCCTTTCTGAAGAAAGTAAATGATGGGCACCATACTATTCCGTGAATATATATACACAGGACCGTGCACTGCAATCCCAAAGGCATGCAGTTCGAGTCCACTAGCTGTTGCGCGGGGGAAGATGGGAAATGTCCTCCTGTACGATTATCTGCCTCTGAAAACCTGCTCAAGTGTTGGCTGTGGGTGGGTGCCAACTCCACGACAAACAACACCACACAAGCATCAATCTACTTCCGGGTGAGTTTCTCTACAAGTGTCCCTTAGAGAGACTGTGGTTGCCAGTTCCAGGTCCATGAGACAAGGCACACGTGTTTGGTGCCCTGCGACACAGAAATTGTCTTCCTTATGCTTTTATTTTCTGAATCTTTGAGAGCACCTGGTGGACACAGAGAGGGAGCAGACTGTGGAGTGAGGTCTGTGTCCACTCTGGGCCCTTGTCAGGAAGAGGACTGTGGCTCCAGGAGAATGGACAGTCCGCCGGGAACCTCCAAGCCCTCCCTGGGTGGATGCAGCCTCGACCCCTCGGCGGGAACTCCTCTGCGCCTGGGTCAGGGCACAGTGAGGCCAAACAGCCAGGGTGCGTCCCCCCCAAGTGCCTGCGCTGATAAAGGCCGATAGAGCCTCGGTATCCCAGAAATCAATCCTCCCAACTCTCTAGCCTTTAGCACTTAAAAACGGACAGTTCTGTCCACTTTAAATTCGAAACCATTATCTGAACTTTCCCAAAAAACTCAGACAATGGAGGAGGATGGAATGTATACAGCGGAAGTCCCTCGTGCCAAGCGGCCACCCCACCTTCCAAAGGTGACAGTACCGGGAGTTTGGACCCGCCGAGTATGCAGAACATGAAGTCTGTGGTGTCTCCCCATGTGGACACCCAGCCAAGCCCTCACAGGAACCTCCGTCAGCTCTCTGCAGGTAAGTCGCCCGGGGTCCACGTGTGCAGATGCCCTAGCACTGCCCCCCAGGGATTTCGGCTGGGACCTTGGATCCAGATGACCAGGTCTTTTGTCCGAGGAGCAGACCGTCAGGTTTTCAGGTGGCGGTAGAGCACATGTGAAAAAAAGACCTGACGTTCATGCTAAGGCTGAGAGGGAAGGCTTCTACTACTCGGGCACAACGACGGTCACACGTTCTAGAACTGACCGGTGCTCCTTCCGTCACTTCTACTTCTTCTCGTAGAGTGATGCTGCACTGAGCACGGGACGCCCCCCGCCCATCAGCCCTGGACGTCAGCAGTCACACGCGGCCTCTCGGGCTGTGGCACGCTGGCCTCCAGGGGCGCCCATTCTTCGTCCTGATTCTGGCTGACAAACTGCCCTGCACACAGGTAGCATTTCATCCACGTCAACACTGGAGAGCTGGAGTTCCCCACGCCTAGTGAGCCCGCCTCCAGGGAGTCAACCTTTGACATCCGCCAACTGGAGAGAGGAAAGGAAATACTATTCCTTTTCCAATCGGAACAAAGTTTGAGAAATCTTTTGCGAGCACAAGACAGGCTGTTTTCAGGGTCCTCCCACGGTGTCTCCGGCTCCCACCCGATCAGAGGCGTGGTCTCATGAGGCAAAGGCGAGCAGGTCAGGCTGGGGCCACGAGCCTCCCACAAACCTGACCGTCGAGAACAACGCCTGCAGAGGCTGTCGTCCACCCAGCGTTCGGTGCGCGGTCCCGCTCGTCTGCTCTATAACCGGGCATGGTTCTGCTATCTGGTGAATTGGCTTCTTACTAAGACAGTTCTTTGAGGTGCTTTAGGGCTTGAGGTTCTCCTTTTCTAGGTACAATCTTAGTTACTTTCAGTTTCCACATGGATGCAGCCTCCTCGTAGAGAACGTTGGTCCTGTGTGTTATGGCACGAGCTTATTCTTGGACCATCAACTCCACTAGTGGCCAGCCCCTCAAAGGGCAGCACACAGGCAATGTAGGGTGACGTCCTAATAGCAGGGAGAGTGCGCAAGTCCTGCTGCGTCCTCTCCAACTCGGAAAGGACTCCAGCCCTGCCCCACCAGGTGGTCTCCAAGAGGCAGAACTCAGCCTCGCTTCGGTCCAACACCTACAACTTGTGGTTTCAAACCCACCCAGTGGTGGACAAGTGAATCTGTCCTGAAGGGAGGGCGAGCATGCTTTGTGAGACCCCAGCTCACAGACCTGGGCACGTTATAGGTCTCAGTCTTTGGAAAAAGACATCATGCCGCTCAGTGAAAGAGGAAACCCCTCAGCGGGATGCACTGACAGGGCTCTGCTACAGTCCTTCCCCACAGCACAGGGCTCCCACCCCTCGGACAGCCCTCATGTGGCAGCGGGAGGTGCCTCCAGCCCAGGTTCCCGTCCATCTGTCTGTCCAGTGTGGGGATCCCTCAGGAAGGTTGTGAGAAGCACCCTTCCCCATGGGGTAGCAGTGGGCTGTCTACTCGGGAGAGACAGGTGCAGGGATTGGCTGAGATGCTAAGAAGCCGCTCTTTCCAGCACAGAACTCAGCTGTCTAGTGTCATCGTCCCCTCAGGCTGAGATGCCAACTGACCTGGGACAGCCTCGGGCAGCCTGCGGCGGGACAAAGCCTTCCCTCTGCATGCTCAGAGATGGTAGAAACTGTGTGACTGTGCGGTCATGGGTGTGCAAGAGTCACATCTCCACGTGTAAGCAGGTGTGTGAGCACATCAGTGTGTGAGCACCCGTGTGGGCACGTGAGTGCACGTCTGTGTGTACATCACTGTGTGTCTATGTACACAGGTGAGCACACGTGTGAGGATGTCGCACACTGTGAGTGGCGGTACGTGTGCAAGCCTGTGGCCGTGCAGAGCCGGGTGGGCACGTGCGTGCACTTCTGCATGAGTGGGTGTATGAACAGGTGTCGGCGTGTACGTTTCGGCGAATGTACGCCCATATACATGAAAGTGAGCGTGCAGGTTTTAACATGTGCATCAGCATGTGAACATCCGTGTGGATGCAGGCGAGCGTGCAATGGAACCCAACTGCTGAGTCTATGTCTGTGTGAGGATACATCTGCCTGGACATGGGTCTCGGGGTGCATGTGAGCGTGTACAGCGGTGTCCACGTCTGTCTATACGTGGGTCTCGGGGTGCATGTGAGCGTGTACAGCGGTGTCCACGTCTGTCTATACGTGGGTCTCGGGGTGCATATGAGCGTGTACAGAGGTGTGAGTCCACGTCTGTCTGGACATGGGTCACATCTGCCTGGACGTGGGTCTCGGGCTGCATGTGAGCATGGACAGCGGTGTGAGTCCAAGTCTGCCTGAACATGGGCCTCAGGGTGCAGGTGAGTGTGTACAGTGGTGTGAGTCCACGTCTGCCTGTATGTGGGTCTCGGGGTGCATGTGAGCATGGACAGTGGTGTGAGTCCATGTCTGCCTATATGTGGGTCTCGGGGTGCATGTGAGTGTATACAGTGGTGTGAGTCCATGTCTGCCTGTATGTGGGTCTCGGGGTACATGTGAGTGTGTACAGTGGTGTGAGTCCACGTCTGCCTGTATGTGGGTCTCGGGGTGCAGGTGAGTGTGTACAGGAGTGTAAGTCCACGTCTGCCTGTACGTGGGTCTCGGGGTGCATGTGAGCGTGTATAGCGGTGTGAGTCCATGTCTGCCTGAGTGTGCACAGGAGGCAGCGTTCATCATATGTGACACCAGCTCCCAGGAGAGAAGCCTCTTCTGTCCCATCAACACCCAAGACCACAAGCAGGCCCACAGGGTAGAGGTGTGGGCAGCTGTGCGTGGCGCCTTGGCCTCTACCAGCCCAGGCTGTGGGCTGAGAGGAGCCCAGTGAGCTGAGGGGCAGGGATCCGACCGCTGGGCAGTGGGAGGTGCATGCTCAGGAGGACAAGAACCGCATGGGGTCTGAAACCCAGTGTCTGTGTGCCCGAGGGCGCCAGGACCCAGAGTCTCCGGTGCACGGGGAAGGCCCAGCACCAAGCACCCACCTTCATGACGGGCTGGGCGAAGTATCTGGCACTCCAGTCGCAGAAGCCAGTGTGCACGGCGGGCGAGATGAAGCTCCTGTGACCCACGGCGTCATCAGCGTCGTCCGCAGTCTGTGTGTGCGGGAACACAGCCATGACTTTAGGTTCTGGGCCCAGGCCGGCCAGTGGAGAAAGGAGTGCTGGCAGCAGGCCGGCACCAGAGAAGAGCCGAGTGACTGAGGCTGGGACCTGCCGGCTGTGTGGGCACCAGGTCTCTCAGGCCGGTGACATTGCCCAGAGGGACTCTGCAAGGCCGCTATCTCTATTAATTGACTTTCGAGAGGGTCCAGGGCCCAATGCCCTTTCACTGGAGGGACGCTCGGCACCCCCGGGCCTCCCCTTGGCCTTGCAGCTGGTGCTTCCTGTAGAGTCACCTGTAGGCGGGGCTGGAGGACAGTGAGCTGCCCAGTGGGAACCGTAGGCCCCAGACACCAGGGCCAGGGTCTCATTTCCTCGGAGGAAATCACCGTCCTCGAGGTGTCCTCGGCCCAGCTGAGAGGCTGGACCCTCACAGAGCAGCAGACAGCCCTCTAAAGTGGTGGCCACATCCTGTGGACAGGCGCGACCCACCAAGGGACAGCAAGGACAGAATACCTGCGGCTCTTCTGGGTGTCCGGGCATGGGGACAAGGATGGAGGCTGTGGGGGCCAGGACCCTCTCACTGTCATGAGGACAGGGTCATGGGGAAGGACGTGTTTTATCAGACAGTGAGCAACAGCCCATGGCGGGTGCCCAGAGGCAGCGGCCTCACCAATGGTAAGCTGCAGTATAAACTGTTCCAGCCACACGCCAGCGGCCAACATGTCACCGAGAGGATGGCCGTTTCAAAGGTAAAGCCATGACATAAACGGCCTGGGGCTGGGCAGCTCGGCCAGAGGCCACATCTGACCAGAGGACGCGTGTTGGAAGGCATGGCGGGTGGCATGCTGAGTCTCCTACCTGGTCTGGGCCCTTGTCGAACATCTTGCGCGTCCGGGGGAACTGGTGGGAGTGGGGTGTGTACTGTCCCCCCACGGTGCTGGTGGTGCCCGGCCGGCCTGCGGGCAGCTCGCGGCTGACCGGCTGCTTGGCCACATCGTTGGTCAGGCTGGAGCTGCTGGTGCTGGGAGTCGGGGGGGAGCCCCTGTGTGGAAGTGACACTGTGGTCAGTCTATTCCCACTGTGGGGTCCCCAACACACCCGTCCACCTCACTGATGTCACCAAAGATCTGGAGTTCAGAGCGCCGATTCCCGGCAGTGTCACTGTCACCAGATGTGTCCGCCTGACTTCCAGCATCCCCGGCTGAGCCTAGTCACGGCTGCATGTTGACTCAGTGCAGTGAGGGGCGCGGGGGGATGCTGGCGAGAGGGGCTCAGCAGGGGAGGGCTGTGTGTGAGTCTGTCTCAGTCGGACACTGTCCCCTGAGGTGCACACTGACGAAGGACATGACCATGAGTGGTCACAGGGGACGCACAGCCACGGCCACAAGCCTTGGTTACACATTCCCACACCAACGTGCGTGACTGAGGGAGGCAGAGAGAAGGCAGGGAGTGAAGGCGAGGCGAGGGAACGGTCAGTGAGAGAGAGTGTGAGGGGGAGACCACAGGGGCAGCGGGCATGGAATGACCATGAGAGAGAGTGTGCACACGTCAGAGGGGATAGGACACGGGGTCAGTTTGGGTATAGATGTGTGAATGTGCACACGTCAGGGAGGACAGGACACGGGGTCAGTGTGTAACTGTGTGAGAGTCGTCACACATCAGAGGGGATAGGACGTGGGGTCAGTGTGTAACTGTGTGAGTGTGCACACGTCAGGGAGGACAGGACACGGGGTCAGCGTGGGTGTAGATGTGACAGAGCGTGGGACCAGCACACGTGTGAGCACTTGAGAACGAGTGTGTGAGAGTGTGTGTTCACATCCGGGAGGAGGACCGGACGTGGGGTCAGTGGGCAGTGAGTGTGCTCGAGCGTGTGGGACCCCGAGAGCCAGGTTAGCAGGAAGGTGAGGATGGGGCACGGGGTGGGGTGCAGGAAGGGAAGACAGGATGGGGAGCAGAGGAGGGAACAGGAGTGTCTCGGGGTGCAGCTCTTACCCCACCGGGTGGATGTGGGCGCCCTTGTTGGTGGGGCTGGCCGGCGCAGACTGCGTCAGGGACGACGTATCGAGGATCCGCTGAGGCCGGGCGTTCACTGTGGCCTGGAAGAGCGAGGTGCCGCTTATGGGGGAGGCCGGGTAGGGCCAGCGAGGCCAGGCCGGCGTGAGCTCTAGCAGGCTGGGGTCTCAGGAGACTTTGGGGAGGGGCCTGGGCTCCTTCTGTAGGCAGACACCTAGCTCCTCCCTCCCCAGAGGTGGAGCAGCTCCCAGGATCTTCCAGCATCCCCGCCCTAGAATGTCGCCACACTGGTCTGCTCGGCGCTATTTTCTGGAACATTCGGGTCCCACCTTAGAGCTATGAGGGGACACACGGCAATGTGCCGCCACAGCCCAGAACCCTGCAAGGTTTTCTGAGTGAGGGGGCTCGCAGGTAAACACCTGCAGGGAGTGGCTGAGGCGCTGAGTGGTTCCGAGGGGTCACAGGCAGGAGGCTCTGTGATCTCGGGGTCTGGCCAGGAGGCAGTGATGTGGGATGACCAGGAGCACCCAGGGCCTAGGATCCTGTGGACAACATCCACCTGATTCTTCAGAGGTCATAGAAACCACAGAGGGCATGGGCGGGGATGAGGGGACAGAGGGAACCCACTTCCAGGGCAGAGGCCACCCCTCAGCTGTGTTCACGTCCTCCATGCCCGTCTGTGCCTCTTCCCACATGGCACCAGGTCAGGGCTGTGCCCTATGGGTGGGACACACTCCAGGTGGCCAGGAGGAAGAAGAGCTGGCACAGGCTGCTCCAGGGTCCAGTCCATGTTCGTTTGCTTTGTTCAGACAATAGCATCTTGGTTTAAGTACAGGTTTGACACGAGCACAAGTCAGTGTTCTGGGAGTCCCACCCTTCTCAACGCCAGCCATCGTTTATCATGATCCACACAGCCTTTGTACAGTCAGGAGAGCACAAGGAAACATCAAGGAATTAGCAGTCCAAGCACTCAGCGCAGCTGGAGAGGGTTAGCCACCTCCATCAGAGTGGACATCGACGTGCTACGAGCCACAAACTGACCTGACGGCACTGAGAACAGCAAGAGTGCGAGATCTGAGCCGAGACCTCACTAAGTGCTCTCGATGGGCCGCATGCTGGCCAGGGCGTCCGCGGGGGCTGGGCCACAGGACGGTTAGGAGCACACGTCTTGTTATACTGGGCTGGAACCAACTCGTTGCTGACCCTCCAGAGAGTTTTCAGAGGCTGTAAATTGCATGGAAGGAGACTGGAGATTGTCCATCTTTCTCCTGTAGAGTAGCTGGTGGATTTGAACCATGTGCCTTTGGGTTGGCGGTACTACTCTTTACCAACTAGGCCACTGGAGCCTCCTTCTCACTGCTGTTGCTGTTGTATGACCCACAGTGACCCCGTCATCTGAACTCAGCATGTCCAAATGTGTGACGAGGCTTTGCCACTCTCACCTCCAAGGAGCACTCTGCTTGTACTTTCTCCAAGACAAATCTGGTGCTTCTTTTCACAATCCGTGGGACAGTTAGCATTCTTCTCCAACACCCCAACAAAATACGCATCAATTCTTCTGCCCACATCCTTATTCACTGTCCAGCTCTCTAAGGCACAGCAGGTGACTGGAAAGACTGGCTTGAATCAGGCACACCTTAGTCTTTAAATGGAAATCATTGCTCCTCCTAACTTTGGAAAGATTCTTGACAGATGATCTTCCTAATGCTACACGTCTCCAGATGTGACTGCTGGTACCAAGGGTGCCGATTACGGACCCAGGCAAGAGTGAAGTGTGGCCAGTTTCAGCCTTTCCTCCACCTGTCATGTTTGCTTACTGGCCCCCCCAATGGTGAGGACTTTTCTTTTTGATGTTGGTGTGTAAACAGTACTGAAGGCTGTGTGTCCTTCACTTTCTGCAGGTGCTTCTAGGCTTCTCCACCTGGAGCAAGGCTGTTGATGAGTCACATTCTTCTTCATAAAGCCCAGCAGGGATGGATGGAGCGACCACAGCCAGGGAGGCACCATGTGGGCCCAGAAGGGGGCTGGGAAATAGACCAGGGCATGGGGACGTGCCTGGCTGAGGTCTGGGACGAGGGGTCCCTGAGTCTCAAATGAGCACGATTCTTCCACGTTGGGGAGGAAGTCCATGAGCTGGATAAAGGCCAGCACAAGGCAGCCCGTTGGGAAGAGACCACAGCTCCCAAAGGAGATGGGACCCCTCAGCTCCAGCTGAGAAACCTTGAGCTCAAGTGAATTCAGAGTGTGAGAGAGGAAGGACGCAGTAAGACAAGGCGCTTTCACGACATGAGCCCGAGCGCAAAGCAGAGGAAAACAACGAGCCCAAGTGGGGCCTCGGAAAAGGTTCCTTCAAGACACGGTCGAAGTGGAGAAGGAATGCGGGACAGCATGACAGACGCTGCAGACACGTGGGTCCTGAGCAGGAATGACAGCCTCACCTAGCCTGATGTGTGAACCCCCATGATGATGGCAGCTTCACCTAGTCTCACACCTGAGCCCCCACAATAACGGCAGCCTCACCTGGTCCGATGCCTGAACCCCCACAACCATGACTACCCCACCTAGTCATCTGATGCTTGTACCCTTCGCCCACAAGCCCCAGCCCACAGGTGACAGTGGATTCGACCCTGAGTGACACCGCCCCCCCCACCCCGTTTCAGAGGCTGTAAACTGTCCAGGAAGACACCAGCCATCTTTCTCCCTCAGAGAGGCTGGTGGTCTGAATCACTGACCATGCAGTTAATGGCGCAATGCCTTAACCACAGCACCACCAGGGCTCTCTGTGAAAATGGAAGACCCTGGGTTAACACTGCTGAGAGCTGGTGGCATGGACTCATCCTTAAAGCCCTGGGGACCGGAGCGTGCCTGGAGCCCCGCGCGCACATGGCGGGGTGGTGGACCCCGGGTACCTTGTAGGCAATGCTGTTGAGGGCCTTCATGGCCAGGTCGGACACATCTGGATAGGGGTCAGCAGCTAGGTGCAGGAGGACTCTCCAGATCTGAGTGTAAACACTATTAAAAGAAACGCCTAGAAGGAAAAGAAGAGACGTGTCTCAGGAGCAAGCAGCTTCCAGTTCTGACTTGCTTTCTATGCAGTTTCATTTGCTAAGAACTTAGCAGGGCCACAGGGAAATAATGCTTTCAGGAATGGGATTACAAGCAGCGTGGAGGGCTTTCTTGCCGTGTGGCCCTCAGGGACTCAGGAGCTGAGCAGTGCGCTTCATCACACTGACCGCACCAGCTATGTGCGTGGAGACTGCAGGGCAGGGTGGGACTTCCTGCGCGGAGCCTTGTACTGTAATCAGCATCTAATCAGCATCGGGTTTATTTCCTAGACTCTGAGAGTCGTCAAGTCCTCTGGTGCTCAGCGTGCAGTGACTAAGGGCCCTGTCCACTCTGCGCTCCCCATCACGGTGCGCACCAGTCAGGATGCTTTCCATCCTGTCCTGGACCCCAGGCCACCCTGCACCCACGTCTATGACCGGGCCAGCATCCCCACACTGCACGCTGACCTGTCCTAGACCCAGGCCACCCTGGAGTACGTGTGACTGACTGACTGACTGTTAGCCTTTCGGGGCACTGTCCATGAGACCAGACCAGACAGGATCTGTGGGCACCCTGCGGCCTGGGAAGGCGTGCTCCCAGCCATGGGAAGCGGGGAGGTGTGCTCAGGATGGGTGGCAGCACCTGCTGAGTGCCTGACTCAGTGGACGCTGTGGCAAAGCATTTTGAGATCAGCCTTAAGGTTGGAGGTTTGGCCCCACCGTGGTTGCACAGGAGGAAGGCTTAGGGCGGTTCCCGTGACATTACAGCCTGGACAGCGCCTGGGGGCTCTGCTCTTCCCACGTGGTTGTAACGAGATGCCACCTCTGGGTGACAAGTGGCTTGCTTTACCTTGGCACAGTTGGCTGTTCCCCGGGGTTGGGGCTCCAGGGTGACAACGGCCTGAGCACTATGGGGTTTACTTAACCTGGATCACAGCACACAGCCACAGCCAGGGATCTCTCTTGTTTAAGACAGGAAGCCTGAGGGGCTGTCAACACGTGGTGCCTGTGAATCTCAGAGGATGGCCTTCCATGACCAACCAATCAACTGGGGAGATGGGGTGCAGGTTAAATGAGGGGATCACAAGGTCTGCACGTGCACACGCACACACACGCACAGGGTCTGCACACATGCATGCACAGTGGCTCAAGCCCACTAACTGGTTAACAAAGGGAGCTGCCCCTTCATCCCGCACATCTCAGGTCCCCTGGGCAATGACTGCGGCCCAGGGCTGCACTTGGGATGCTATCTGAGGGGAAGTGGGATGCGTCTGGGGAGGCCCCACAGGTCTGAGAGAGAACCTCATGCTTGTGTCTAGATTAAAGCAGCCAAAGAGCTCAGCTGGCAGACGGCTTGTTTTGAGAGCAGTGGCCACACCCTTGCAAACAGCACCAGACCCTTAAACGACACCAGAGCAGAGGGAGTGAGGGGGCAGAGAGGACACAGACAGGGACAGGGGTCAGGGGTGAGGGCAGGGGAGCAGAGGGAGGAGAGAGAGGGGCAGGGATCAGGGGTAAGGGCAAGGGAACAGAGGGAGTGATGGAGGGCGGAGGAGGACATGAGTCGGGTGAGGGCAGGGGAGCAGGGAGGAGGTTGTGGAATGCAGAGAGGAGGCTGGGGGCAGAGGGGCACACTGAGGGGATCAGGGGCTTGTGGATGCAGAGAGGAGAATGGGGGATAGAAAGAGACATGAGGGGGACAAGGAGGTGGGGGGAGGGCAGGGGATGTGGAGAGGAGGATGGGAGACACAGAGGGGACGACAGAGGTTGGACGGCAGCTTGGCTCCCTCACACAAGGGGCAGTGTGGTGGGCAACGCCCTGCCCTGGAGGGAGTGGCACCGGGAGAGGAGGTTTAGACTGCCCTTCTCGGTGACCTCTCTCCTGCCTCTTCAGGGATCCTCCCGTGCCCGGAGCCCCATCTTAAAGAACTTGCCGCCCCTCCCCACAGTGTCCCCCAGTGAGGTGAGCTGTGGTGGCCTGTGTATTGCTGTGATGCTGGACACACTATTCCACACAGCAGTAGGGACACCTGCGGTGGGCAGGTGGCAAGTTTCCCAAGTAAGACTAAGAATAAAAGCCTGGCAATCTCCTTTAAAGACTCAGGAAAACCCTGTAGGTCACAAGACACACTGTCCGACAGGGTTCTGAGCTCAGGCACCTGGGTGGGGAGGCTCAGAATATGGGCTGCAACAGTGGACTTGGGCAGGACCAGCAATGGGGCCTGTTGTACCCGCATCATAGCTGACTATAAGCGACCCAAGGCCACCCTGCTCCTAGCATGCCCCTGACTCATGCAGCCCCAGAAGCTGCTGGCCGGGTGAAGGCCGTGGGGTGGGCTGGCCGGAGGCACTGAACCAGCCCCAAGTGGCCGACTGCTGAGATGAAGGCAGTGCTTCCTGGGCTTCAGCCTTTCCCGCGTGCGTCCTCTAATCAAGACTGTTCCATGGAAACAATTCATCCCGGGGCACTGGCCAACGGTGCCGGTGTTCTCGCCAGCCTTTTCCCAGAGGAGAGAGTGAAGTAATGGGCTATAGACTCAGTCAGCACAGTGTCCACCCGGCGATGGAGTGCTGGCCCCCCCCCCCGGTCAGTACAGTGTCCACCCGGTGACGGAGCGCTGCCCCCGCACCCCACGTCAGCACACCGTGCCCCCGATGACGGAGCACTGCCCCCCCCCGGTCAGCACAGTGTCCACCCAGTGATGGAGCGCTGCCCCCCTCACACATGGTCAGCAGTGTCCACCTGGTGATGGAGCACTGCCCCCCCCGGTCAGCACAGTGTCCACCCGGTGACGGAGCGCTGCCCCCCCCCCGGTCAGCACAGTGTCCACCCGGTGACGGAGCGCTGCCCCCGCACCCCACGTCAGGACACCGTGTCCAACAGCACACCATGTTTGCTCAGTGACAGAGCACAGTTCCACCGCTCACCCCACCCCAGCCCCCAATCAGCACGCTGTGTCAGCTCATTGATGGGGGTGGCTGCTCCCCAGCTCCATGGCCGTGAGGGAAGCAGACTCGCAGACTCGTCGCTTCAGCCCCTGACACCCAGCCCTTGGCACCCACTGGCCCCACAGGGTACAGAAGGGCTGGTGAGGAAGGCAGGAGGAAAGGACACTGTACCCACGGGGGACAAACTGACGAGAAGGATCAGGACTGTCCTGTGATGGGGTGGCGATAGACAGGACCCTGGTGACCGGGCAGTGGGGGTGAAGAGGGGGCAGCACCCAGGATGCACACTGGGAGGCTGTTATCTGCTTGGGGTGCCCTGGGTGGGTGGGATGGAGTGAAGTTGGGGTGCCCTGGGAGGCGGGGTGAAGTTGGGGTCCCTTGAAAGGTGGGTTGTAGGTGGGGTGCCCTCAGAGGTGGGGAGGACAGGAGTTAGGTGCCCTGGGAGGCGGGGTGAAGTTGGGGTCCCTTGAAAGGTGGGTTGTAGGTGGGGTGCCCTCAGAGGTGGGGAGGACAGGAGTTAGGTGCCCTGGGAGGCGGGGTGGAGTTGGAGTGTTCTGGGCGGTGGAGTGGAGTCTGGGGCCGCGCACAGACAGCAGCCTCAGTCCACAGCAGACAGCTCTTGGGAAGGTCCCGACTAGACAGTGCTGGGTGTGAAGCTGTCCCTTGGGAGAGTCAGGCTGAGGGCCATGTGGGGTTGGGGAGTGGCAGGGCTTGGGATGGAAGTCCAGTTTGCTGGGAGATAGGGTGGGCAAGGCCCGGGAAAGGGTGTCAGGGAGACCCCAGCGAAGTTAGTTCAGATGACTGAGTGTGAAATAAGAGAGACGTCAGAGAACGTTCCAGAACGTGAGGGAAGCGTGGAGAACCATGGCTGAGCTTTTCCAGCATTCCCTGAGGCCAAGCACTCTCCTGAGCGCTCAGGATTCCGGGAGAGCAGAGGAAATCAAGGCCCCTGTGGGGGGTTCCTTCCAGAGAGCAGCCAGGAAGGGAGGTGCCCTCCTGGCAGGGGGGCCGCCCCCGGGACTTGGGAAACAGGAGGCGGGGGTCTAGGGGGCACCCTGGAAGGAGTGGTTTGTGGGAGAGGAGATATGGCCTTGCATGGTCTGAAAGCCTTGCTGGCAATAATCAGCGGAGAGTGTATAAACAGATTGCTGTTTTTTTTGTAGAATGAAAGAAAAAATATGGCTTTAAACAGGCGGATCTGAAAGTAATGGGATTCTGTGCAGGTTATGAATTTTAAACTCGCTGGAAGCGAGTGCTATCTGACGGCGTGGGAACAAGGCTGACTGGAGCTACTTTGTCGTCCTCACTTTCCTTTCTGAGCTCTGGCTCATTCTAGACGTTTCCCTTCAAGTTTTCCGAGACTTGAGTGACACCAGATGAAATGCAGTTTTCCCGGGAGTCAAGCTGTGCGAGAAAAGGCAGCACCAGGGAAGGAGCAGGCGGTGGAGGCAGCGGCTCGGAGCTGGCCTGAGGCTCGCTCCCAGAGACAGAGCTCAGCTGCTGTGTCCCGGCCGCTGGGTGCCCTTCCAGGCCGCAGTGGGACCCCAAACCACATCAGGGTCAAACGGGACACGCACACACACAGCCACGTGTGCATGTGAGCTCATGCACACATACGTACAAGCCCGACCCCGCCCTATCCAGAGCACGGAGTAAAAGAAACCGAAGACAAGGGACCCGGGCCTTCTGCCTCCACATTGCAGACCTGAATGAGATGGTGCCAACTGCCACTTCCGACTGCTCTGAACACGGTCCCAAGAGAAATCGCCTGATAGCGCGGGAGAAAACATGGGCCCAAATTCAAAGTCATAAGAAGACCAGGCTGACTCGGTGACAGGCTGACAGGGCTCCTGATGCTCCGGCTGAGGCACCTCTCAAACGGTCTGAAATTAGCTCCATGACACAGCTTCCAGCCACTACTCCCTCCCTCCCCACCTCAAGCCTGTTCCCACTCACGGTGCCCTTCTCCTGTTTCTGAGGTTGCAAATCCTACTGGGGGAGACGGTCCATCTTTCTGTCTCCTGACCCCCCGTGGATTCAAAGCCTTGGGCACACGAGACCTGCTGGCCAGCAGCACAACCTTCCACCAGAGCTCAGAGACAGGACTAGAACGGGGTCATTGACACCAGAGAGGGACACACCCCTATGAGACCAGGGGGCCTTGGACTAGGGATGAAGCTGGGATGGCATCCCTGGGGGGTTGGGGGGCAGTGAGGCAGGTTTGTGGGAGCATCTCTAGGGTTGGGAGACAGTGAGGTGAGCTCGTGGGGGCACCCCTGGGAGTTGGGGGCAGTGAGGTGGGCTCACAGGGGCATCTCTGGGGCTGAAGGGGGCAGTGAGGGGGGCTCCTGGGGCCTGTGGACAAGTCTGGCCAGGGTCGGATCCAGCTGATGTCTGCTGTCCTATCACCCACGGGCCAAGCACCGGGTTCATGGTTTCAAGTGGCCGGGAACACCCTCCAGAAGGCCCTGGCGCAGTGCTAGGACGCGTCCGTGGAATGCAGTGTCCGTGCCGCGCGTGAAGCTCTGCGAGAGCGGGGAGCTCGGCCTGAGCACATGCTTCGTGACGTTCGGGCTGCAGAGCAGACAGTACCTGCCACCAAGACAGCAGGTCCACTTTCACAGCGCGACGCTGAGCCCTCGACTTCAGTCTGCGGGACCTGCGTGGGATTTTTTCCCCCCCGCTCTACAGAGTTTATTGGGTTTATAACTGGACAAAGTCACACGTGTACAAAATGAAGCTCACATTATCCCAATGCAGAGTAGGGACTGAGGGCTGGGGTTCTGTTACTGGCCTTCGGGGAAGCTTTGAGGTGAGGGGCAGCCAACCCTCTCACTCCAGAGAGATGTGGCCACAGGGGTCGGGAGGAGAGGGGCCCCACCTGGCTTTGGTCACAGAACTCAGAACAGAGCCTGGCACTGGGCCAGGGCCAACAGCTGGAGGAACAGGAGCCCCAGAAAGCCCCCAGCCCGGGGAGCCCAGGGACTGCCCCACCAGTCTCGCTTGCAGTGGGGTTGGTCCAGACCTAGACGCAGGGGCTGGTGCAAAGGGAAGGCAGCAAAGCAGGAGAGGAGACACTGATGTGCAGTAGCTGGGGGCCTGGGCCTGTGGACGAGACTGGGTGGGGAGGCAGGCTAGCTGCCGCTGAGCAGCTAGCAGCGGGTCTCATAGATGCCGCTGCGGCCAATGTAGCGCACCCATTTGATGACATCATGGTCGCTGTAGTTCAGCTTCGGTTCAAACACCTTCAAGAAGCGCACCTTGAGGCCAGAAGGTGCGAATGGCACCTCAAAGTTCATGGAAATAGGGGGTCGTGCCCATTTCTTCTTGTCGTTGGTAGGCAGAAGCTCAATCTCAGCGCTGATCTGTGATTCCTTCATGCCCGCCATTCTCTTGATCTTCCACACGATGGCATTCTCACTGGCCTTGTACTTGGCCTTGCCTTTCATGCAGATCACCTGCACCCCGCTTGTATTCAGTGGAGTTGGAATCCTCACCTCAATTTTTTGGGCAAGTAATGAGGGCTTGAAGTTGGACTTGATGACCACCTTGACCTCCAGCTTGGTGCGCCCCACTTCCCGCACCAGTGGGATCACTCGGAAAGGAAGGATGATGTCCTTGGTGGTGCGATACCTCATGAGCTCAAACTCTCCATCTGGTGGGATCAAGCTGATGCTGCGTTCAGAGTCAAACTTGCTGAGTCGCACACACTGGTGGAAGGTACAACCATCGATGGCAATTGATTGCTTCCCACTCTTGCTGGTTTCGTCAGCTGTGCCTTTGCCCTGCTTCTCGACGACAATCTTGTCATTCATGCCAAACTTGCACTTGGGCGTGCCACTCAGGTAGCTCTTCACCACCACCCGGCCAGACACGTGGGCACTCAGCACCTGCCCTTGCGGAGACATGAGCAGGCTGACACTCTCCAGCACGTCCAGGAAGAGCTCGTTTCGGCGATCCTTGCTGCCTTCCCGACGCCAGCCAATGTGCCCCGTCACCTGGCGATCTGGGACTGCTCTTCCTTCGTCTGATGCTGGCTCTTGATGCCCTGCTGAGTGATGAAGGATTTCAGCGCCCCAGTCTCAGAGTTCTGTGGACAGCCAAAGTCCAGGATCTCATCCAGCAGCTCGTATATGAGCACAAAATTGTTCTTGATGTTCTCTTCACTGATCTTGCCAAAGTAAGCAGCCATTACATCACACATCTTATAGAGGAATTAGAAGACCATGGCGGCATTGACATTCTGCTTGGTGACAGCTGCCAGCCAGATGTTAGACCGCTTAACATGGAAGAAACTGGTACGAGCGATGCTGGTGACGGGGCTGCGCACCTGCTGCTGAGCATGGATAACATTGACCCGAAAGGCACCCACTGCATTCCTCCCAATGTCATCTCGGTACACCCGGGAGAGGAGCGCCTCCCCTTTGTGATTATAGATGAACAACCCTCCAATCATGGCGGCAGCTCAGTCTCCACAGCCCATCGCTCTGAGAAAGGACCTGGTGTCCACGGCACCCTCCTCGGCCGGGCCACTCTCTGGATCCCAAGATGTCCACCCACCCCCTGCTCGCCTGCCCTGCGTGGGATTTTGAGGCAAGGATTCACACAATGGAATACTACGCTGCACTGAAAAACAAGGAACTCATGAAATATTCAAAATGGGTGACCCTGGAGGACATGATGCTGAGTGAAATATCGCAGTCACAAAAGGACAAATACTGCACAGGGCCACTGTTGTAAAACAGGACTGACCTCGGGGTTGGGGTGAGACCGAGAAAAACTGGATAAATTATGTATATTGCGTTGAAACAGATGAGGGAGAGAACAGTTTAAAAGCAATATATGATTGGGTATTATGGTTATGACAAGAGTCCAGAATGAAGGTTGCATAGTGGAGTGTATTGGGGGGTTGGGGGGACTGTATACCAATGAAGGAATTTTTCTTTTACTTTCAAAGAGAAGAGCGAACTGGGGGGGGAGGTGTGGGCAGGGAGAAAAATGCAACAATGAATGAATGGAAATCCAAAAATCTCTGTAAATATTCATAATAAAAAAAAAAAGAGGCAAGGATTTTGTAGCTGTGTCTGACATGCTCTGGACATGGACAAGTCCTTAGAGAGGGACGTCATGGTTGGAAGGGTGGAGGAACAGTGCAGGAGGGGAAGACGCAGGATGAGATGGATTGACTTGGGGACTAAAGAAATGGGACGAGGTCGACTGGAGGTGACGAGATTGGCTCAGGGCAGGGTAGGGTTCAGAGCTACTGTACACAGGGTCACTATGATGGCAATCTGACAACACACAAGAACGACGACGACAACAGACCCAAAAGACAGGCTGGCTGGCCTGGGAATGCAGCCGCCGGGCGTGCCGTCCACGCTATGGAAGCATATACCGTCCACTCTACGGAAGCATATGCCCTCTTTCTAAACAGACACCGTGAGCACACGGGAGCACCTGTGACCGCTCTTGTGACTGTTATGAGTACCAGCCCTGTGCCCGCAGACCCCGGGCTGTGTGAGTGAGCAACACATAGTGGTGGTGCCACTGCCCAGAGGGAACAGGTCATGACATGGAGTGGGCATGTGTGTGTACACCTGCATGTGTGTACGTGCATGGAGGTGTGTGCACACAGGCGTGCATTACACATATGTGTACAGTCACGTGCACATATATGTAAACATGTTTGTCTATGTGTGTGGCATAACGTGTGTACATGTGGGCGAGCATCTGCACTGACACGAGGTCTTCACGTGACAGTCAGGCATGGCCAGGCCGGGTCACTGTACTGGGTGTCAGCAGCGGCCTCCTGGCCAGCATGTTGAACCACCTGCTCTTCAGACCCATCGCCTGCCCGTACAGGTCAGGAAGAGCTCGCCCCACCACGCGGTGCCGGAGGGTGAATGTGAAGGCAGAGGAGGGGTAATGGCAGTGGGAAACCACTGCGGACTGCGCAGTAATGACAACCCCATCTACCAAAGCCGAGGCGTGGAGGCGAGAAGCACTGAGAGAGGAGCTGAGAGACGCAGATTAGACCGAAGGAGGCTGACGGGTCATGCCACCCCCACTCCCCCAGTCTCTGAAGGACATGGAACTGACAGCAGAGCCGGCAAAGAGGAAAGGTGAATTCACAGAACAGAAAACAAGGATGTGATAATCAAGTGAAGTCACAAAGCCTAAATCAGGAACTTGGAGACACTGAAAAATTCCAACAAACACCTCTTAACATAAAAAAGAAGAAAAGTACACAAATAGTAATAACAGGTTAGGGCGGGAGCTGACAGAGAACAGCAGGAGAAAATCCAAGCTCGCTGAGCAACTTCCCAGCACCAAAGGTGGAGGCTGAGCACAAGCAGATGATAATTCAGAGAAACGCAACCTGTCAACGTTGCCGTAAAAAAAGTACCCAACCTGGACCAGCCCAAATATCCACAGAAATGGAACCTCAGGGAACTGCTGCTCTCTCCCAGTTCACAACAGAGGAGAGAAAAGGAAAGATGCAGTGAAGCGCCTTGTCCAGGACGGTGGGCCTTGTGACCAGAACCTGCAGGGCCGACCACTACCCGAGAGCACAGCAGGGGCCTGGATGGAGCGGGAAATGAGAAATAAAACTCAAGACGCAGAACAAACGCAGTCTTCCCGGGTGGAAGCCCTGACACTAGGCTCCTAGACACCCCTCAGACTTGGTACAAAAGTCTCCCCCAGTGGTCAGCTTTCGGCCAGAGAGCACTCAGGCTAACGAGGTGAGTGAGGACACCTGGGGGCACTCCCCCCCCGAGAGTGACCAGCCATGGAAGTCAATAGAGCAGCATCTGGCCAGCGATAAAGCCCGGCAGGAAAGAAGGCTAGAAGGACTGCTGCAAATGAGAATTACAGGAAGGAAGTGGGAAAGTGCGATTATGATGTATTTAAACTAATATTATACAACACAGTGTGCATGATAAGCTGAATGAAAAACCAGCTTGCTTTATAAACATCCATTTAAATATTTTTTTTTCTTTTTAAGCCAGCGACTAGATTTGCTGATCCTGGGTACAAAAATCAATATAAAAATAGAAGAGACACGGAACGAGGAACTGAAACCTAGAAGCTCCCCAAGCCAGAGAGCTGGGAAGTAATTTCTGTGCAGACAGCAAGAACAGATCACCTTCAGGTCACAGAAACTCTTCCATAACAGAGGCCTACTTACTCCTCAGTGAGTTTTCTTCGATAAACAAAGGCCTTCTCCTTAGTGAATGTTCTTGCTGCTGAGAGCTGTTAAGCTGGAACTGACCACAGCTGCCCTTCCCGCGGGTTCTCAGTCAATCCCATGGGAGGAGACTGCCCATCTCTCTCCCTCAGAGCGGCTGATGAAAAGGATGATGGAAGAACTAATGCCTTCCAGATGTGTCGTGGAGGAAGCAGAGCCAGAGGGCCCCGGGGCCAAAGACGGCAGGTCCCTCTCACAAACCTCTGGTACCTGCTCGGAGAGGCTCCGTGGGAGGACATCATGCTGGGAAAGGTGGGGGTCAGGGAAGGAGAAGACCCTCAGTGAGAAGGCCTGATACACTGACTGCAGCGGTGGGAGTCAGAGACGAGGGAGACGGCACGGGGAGGACGGGGCTCAGGTCCACCGTTCATCACAGACGAGGGGGACGGCGCGGGAAGGACGGGGTTCTCAGAGATAGGGAGGACGGCGTGGGGAGGACGGGGTTCAGGTCTACTGTTCAGAGCGCCACTATGAATAGTACTTGATTCAATGGCACCTAAGAAGAAAGAACAACAACAAACCAGGCAAGGTAGGAGAGGCAAGAAGGAAAACTGTGGGCCAAATTTATTTATGAGTCAGAAATTCTAAATAAAATTACCTGGCAACTTAATGCAACAAGGTTTCCATCTTTGGGGTGATGCCCAGGAAAGCAGGTTGGGCCTGAGGAAGCCCAACACAGCAAGTCGCTGTAATCTACTGATTCACTGTATTAGCCGATTAAAGAGGCAAAACCAGGGACCACAGAGGAGACGCAGAAGAAACATTGAGTGAAAACCAGAGTTCACTCCATTTATGGGAAGAAATCTCTAAGCCAACTGGGAGAACGGGAATTAGCGTTTACAAAAGACCAAAGTTCTTAATGAGCTGGAAGAAAGGAGAATTTCTATCAGCTGATAGATTATCTGTCAAAGGAAGAGCAGCAAACCTGTTTAAAGCTGACAGTTGGAAGCACGGCTCTTAGAGGAATGAGACAAACATCCCACCTCCTTTACTCTGCCAGCAACCAATGTTTACAACAAAACAGGGATCGCTCAGAATTTAAAACTCCGCGGTACAGGCTGCCCTCTGACTCCCAGGTTCTGCATCCACGGATTCAACCAGTCATGGGTTGGAGGCATCCAGGATATGGAGGGGAACAGGCAGAGGTCAAAGTGTGCGCGTCATGGGAAGCTGTAACCTGAGGCCCAGGCCCACGTGCAAAGGGCTTGATGAGGAGCTGGGCATCTGAGGGCTGGCCTGGAACCCCCCACCATTAATGAGGGACAATGACAGCTCAGATACCAGCACTGACTCATGTGTGCGTCCTCCGTGGTGGCCTGCAGGACGCTGTGATGTTGGAAGCTAGGTCTCTGGTACTTCAAATACCAGGAGGATCGCCCATGGAGGACAGGTTTCAGCAGAGTGTCCAGGACAAAGCAGAGAGGCAGGCAAGTCTGGGTGTCTGTTTACAGAAACTAGCCAGTGCGACCCCTCTGGGGGCCATAGCACCCTGTCCTCTGACAGTTCTGGACAGAGAGCCCCAGACTCAGTCATAGCATGCTGGTGACCAAAAAGGCAGGGGACTGGTCCGTGTCCCGTCCTGCCATCGTCAGGCCAGGAGGCGGAGCCACTTGGCAACATTCAACTACCAGGTCAAAGTCAAGCTAAAACAACATAAGAGGCTTGTGACCTTTGCGTGGAAAGTTCCAGATGGTCCTGAGAGACATTAAACAGGAATGAGGAACACAAATTGCACCAACGCCAGGGATGGGAGACTCTGGACTGCAAAGCCAAGCCCTCTAAACAGATTCGAAATTCACACGGTTGCACTCAGACCCCAGTGAGGCCCTGTGGACAGACCCTGAGCTGGAGAGGAAGGGTCAACCTTGGTCATGGCACTGCATGGACAAGTCAGGTGGGGTCCAGGCAAGTTCAGAGGTGTCCTTTGGTCACTGGACAGAGCAGCAGGACAGATGTCAGATGCTGACAGATGACAGGACACACTGGTGCACACCTGGGAGGCCCCATCCAACAATGCCACTGCAGCTGTGCGCGTCCTCCCCGAGGGTGGCTTCTGTGTCTCTGTCACGCGCACTCACTGAGTGCCCACTGTCCGGCGATCCAGACCCCAGAGAGAGACGTGCGCACTTGCCTGCACTTGGCTGCTTTCGGCTGGCCTTGGCCCTTCCCTCTGGGTGAGTAGCCCTGGTACTGGTGTGCTGACCACCGATGGACACCCTTGGTGTGAGGGCCGCAGGAGGGCACGGAGGCCGGCGACTCACCTATGAGCGAGTTGAGGGAAGAGTAGGAGCTGACACGCCGCATCTTGTCGATGGTCTCAAAGGACAGGATGTACTCCTCGTTCTCGGGGCTGCCCAGGGTGCTGCTGGCGCTGCTGCTGGCGCTGAGGTTCCCAGGAGAGAATGCCACGGAGCCACCGGCTGCGGGGACACAAGGGGACGGTGAGGGCTGGGAACGACCAAGAGCCCTGTGCCGGCGCCCCCGCCCCTG